GTTGGCCCTTCTGGTTTGCCCAGTTGCATCGAATGGCTCGCGAGCCGAGCCACTCGCCGTCCATGGAGCTCAGGGCCTTTTCGGCCTCAGGGCGATCGCGGAAGGCAACAAACCCGTAACCTCGAGATCGGCCGGTCTTCATATCCCACATGACACGAGCCTCTGAGACGGAACCAAAAGCAGAGAAAGCTTGAAGGAGGACCTCATCGTTGACTTCGTTAGACAAATCGCCGACAAAGATGTGGAAATGATTCGAGGTGTCCTCCTTGTTTGTGGTGTTCGACTGATAGGCCCAGTTGACACGGATTTCCTAAGCTACGGTTAGCGGGCGACGTTCGAGATGTTGTTGGATTTCGCTGGGGGCCAATGTACCGATTGGTGAACTCGTCGTCCATTGAGGGTCTGCATAGCACGCTCAGCGGCACCAGGGTCATCATACTCGACAAAGCCATAGTTATAACCACGCGCCTGTGAAGCATTGTTAGCCCACCATACCACATCCGCAAAATTTCTTAGGGTTGTTGCGAGACCTACATTCTTGTCGGGAATGATCTTGACATTCTGAACATGACCCGTAGTCTCGAAGATCTGACGCAAGACTTCCTCAGTTACACGCTGGTCCAAACCACCAATGTATAGGGCACGCTTGTTGGGTTCAGGGGCAGCACGCCGGAAGCCACCTGCACTGGTAGGCGACATGATGCCTCCTTGATCGGCAGCGGATCTGGGGGAGGTGATGGCAGTCGGGATCGGGTTGGTATTCTGAGGGATATGCAGAGGCGGAGGGGCCATAGGCTGTCCATTCTGGCCAGCTTCGAAGCCAGGGGCGCCAGCAACGGCCTGAGGGGGGGGAGGCAGCTGGCCTGGGTTGGAGGGCGTTCCAGAATCGGCCATGTTGTATGATATCGTGTCTGGGGTGATGATCAAGAAGGATGAGTAGCGGAAGGATAGGACGACAGAGCAGAGGTAGAAGAGGAATTGGAGGCTACCTATGAGCTGCGTTGTACTGAAGTCGGTCGGTCGAGGTGGAGAGTCGGCGGTCGGTGACAATATGTACCTGTGCCTCCTAGCGTTTGACAGGACAGGGGTCCAACTGGACGAGTAGGCAACCCGGAGCTAAGAGTGACACGGGTGGGCACAAGGAGAGAGAGGGGCCCGCGTCTGGGTCTGGTCTGACAACGGGGTCCAGACGAAAGCTTTGGGACTGGGGTGGGAGGCTACAGTGGAAACTCCAACGTCAAGAAATCTCCAAAAAGCGGTTGACGGCAACGCGAACGAAGGTGCAAGCTTTCGGAGAGGGGCGATCGAATTGTTGCGTGCGGGCGGTTTGGCACTGTAACACAGGAGCGGAACGAGACGGTGGCCTTGGCTTGATCGTGGCCGGTTGTGAGACGTGGGGGGGTTTAATTTGATGGAGATGAGAGCTGGTCGACAGGCTGAAAGAAGGCGTGCAGATGGTGTTTCCCCGTAGCCTGGCGCGCACGAGAATCGAAGACCGGCAAAGACACGCAGAAAAAGCAGAAACCGACTCGAATAAAGAGATAAGTTGAGAGCAACAAGAGAGAAGATGGCGAAACGGAAGAGAGCTAACTATGTTAGAGAAGCAGCGTGAGACGACGGTGAAAGTTGATGATATGAAAGGAAATTGAACGGAGGAACCGAAAGGAACCGTAAAAGCCCAAAGGAAACCTGATACAAGGACCACTCCAACGATATTATGACTATGAATGCTTGAGAGGAGAGAAGTAAAGGAAGAAGCTGACGAGTAGCGGATGATGGAGGGGCATACATAGCCTTACATATCGCCCTGTACCTCTCTCACTGCACAGTTCATCATACAGTGAGTGAGGTAAGGCACACGGGTTGGCCGGTACCAAGGCCTAGGGGGGCAAGAAGACATCAGGCCTTGGTATGGGATGTCAAAATAAACTCAGCAAAAGTCACCTGAAGCTTAGGCTATATTACCTAGATCCTTTTGTCATTTAGGATCAAGGTCCTGAGTTTTCTTTCCTCACCTGGCTACTACGTACCTACTAAGGGTACTAAGGTAAGGCAAGGTACTTGTTCCCTTACCAACTATCGAAGCCCAACAGACCATGCTGGTATATTGATCAGCGATTGGTTGTCTGTTCTTCTAGACGCCTGATTCGACCAAAGTGTCAGGGTTGAGAATGAAGGAAGAGGGGAATGGGATAGAACCGAACATACTGCATTGGACCTTGGAGAAGCGGGAAACGGGTTTGCATGGGCTGAGCTGGGACACCAAGTAGGTGGGTAGCTTGTATCATGTCACATAGGTTATCACACATGACTATATTGGCATAGGTTATCCTTGCAACAGATGGTGGAGGGGAGTGCATGTTAGTAACATACATACATAGGTTTTAGTACCTACCTACTGGCATGATAGAGCATTTGCATATTCCCCTGGAATTGAATACTTGAGGGGTATAAAGTTTATATAAAGGTGTCAAAGGCAGGCTTGGCTGGAGACCAAGAATGAAAGCAACGTTGAGCTTTGCAGAACCCAGAGGGCATGACAGGAGGGCAAAGGTGTAAGTGGTGGTATAGATAGCCCAGGAACGACCGATCAAGACTCATATGGTTCATGCACAAACTGCCAGGCCCTCAGCGGCTCCCAGAATTTACCTGGGTACCTGAGGCAGGTAGGTAAGAATAAAAAGATGCGAATGTACCAACTCTCAATTGTCAGTGAGTCTTTTGGTTGGTTGCTCACTGTTGTTGTCCTTGTCAGTGAGTCCATCCAACTCAACCCTTAAGGTAGGTAGGTACCTCTAGTGAGGTGCACGTGATGTCGTTCCTGGACGCGCCTAACACTTAACCTGGGGGGCTGAACTGGGTCCAGCAAGGAGTACACCTCTTGGGCTCTCTCCTCCCTGGCTTTGTTCAGCAACGACGAGAGTTATCTGACCGTCCTTTGAAGCTAAACTAACATAACTTCTCGTAGTTTGCTTGAACGGCTTCTCAGTATCTACCAGAATACCAGAACTGTCGCCTGGCACGGCCATGGCTTCCCAACCTCATCAGGAGCCGGACCCGCTCGATGTCTTGCAGAATATGGTCAACGATGTCGTAAGTGTCACCTCCATCCTTATAATGACTTGACCAAATTTCTGATGCCTCGTTACAGCTGGTACATACTGGAAAGGCTCTCAGAGCTTCCCGCAAGGATGCCCAAGGGAGTACGCAGTCTACCCAGTCAACCCTCAAGTCCAAGCTGCCCGAGTCTATTGACGGTTTCCGGGAAGCCTTACACAAGCTCGAATGGGATATTGTAAGTCGCCTCGAGCATCGCCTCAACGACTCAAATCTCACATTATCTTAGATCGATGCCAAGTCTGTTCTCATGCGTGATATCAAGCGTCTACAAGAACAGAAACAGCAGCAGAGCCAGCAAAGTCAACCTACTCTTGTATCCCAACCCCCACAACCTCAACCAGTTGAATCTCAGTCCAAATCTCCCATGGTCATCGACCTTGAATCATCCCCTCCCCCTCCCCCTCAGGATCAGCATATGACAGAGATCAAGACCAACAAACCAGTCGCCCCCTTTCCTGACATGGGCATGGGGCTTCCCGATGTCGGCCAACCTATCAGTGTGCCGAATGATGAGACCACACCATCTGTAGTTCCAAGTACTGGACCTGAACAGACCAACTCCAAGGCAATTTCTCCTACTGCCCCGACTTCAGCTCCAGCTGCCACCGCTCCGATGGCTCCTATGCCGATCATGGAGCAAAAGCCTGTGGACAACCAAAACAATAACGTGACAGACCTTACTAGCGACGGGTCACATTCAGAACTCAACTTTACAAATATGCAGTTCACGCTGGCTCCGACAAACAACGACTCGCAGAACCCTTCTAATTCCCAGGAACCTTCTTTTGACCTTGCAACATTTGCTCCCCCGGAGGGTAATGATGATATACTAGGTCTGGACGACATCCTGCCCACCAACAACACTTCTCAGACAAATGGCATCTCGCAACTGCCTGCTGGATCTGTCGATAACGCACCCAAACAAGATCTGCCAATGGATACAGACAATCTGGGAGCCTCACAGGAAATGTCAAACAATAATTATGATTCTGTTTTTGATGACGAGATTTTCGGTGGTCTCGGCACAGGCGACGGTCTCGCCGATGGAACCGACGACATTACTTTTGAATCCCTCATGAACGACCGGGATGATGACAACCTAAACTATGGCGAATTTGACGATACCTTTCTCCTTGAGAATATATAGCGATCTTGCGCACAAAGCCGCTCCGCACCAAAGATCCAGTGGTGTTTTTTTTTTCGGGTGTTCGCATATAGTTGTTGCGCACATCGTCCACGAAACTCGGCCATCTGGACTCTGACACTCATTGTCCAGTTACTTATTTGGATTTATGCCAAGATCACTTTATCTTGGCCAATACCAAGACAAACCAGGCAAAGCTATATCAGCAGTTGTCAACATGGCACAATCAAGCTCAACAATAATGTTTGTGTATAAAAAGCTTGGCATCTTCGATTTTCGATTTGGTTTTGTTTTCGGCGTTTTGTAATGGCTCAGAATGCATCGGTAGACATGGATGGACAGGTGTTTGGGTTTTGGGTCAAGCTCACAATGATGTTCTCGACTTAAGAATATTGGATGAGTATGGAAGGTTTCTACAGGATGGTGCTAAGTACCAGGGATATCATGTTTTATGTACACAACGAAATAGGAGGCTTTCGCTAAATGAACAGACGCTGAGAAACATATACAACTTGTTAAGAAGCTCCCCTCCTCTTTTCTTTCCTTTCTCTCGTCTATCAAGTAACGTATTCGCCATGAACAATGACCAAGAAATACAAGGAAAACAGCACGGCCGCTGTCGCATGACAAAGAAAACCGACAAAGAAAACGTTAATCATCATGATTCATCTTGGGTGCATTTACACCATTGGGTCTCACGAGGCCTAGATCCCGTGAGGTCTATTTCGCGCTTAGGTCATGTGGCTGTCGCGGCAGCGCGAGCCTCAAGTTCGCGACGTTTAGCAAGCAAACTCTTGAAAGCGCCAATGCAGCGAACAAGGGCATCTTCATCGTGAGCGCAGAAGCGGTAGCTCTTTTCTTCAGTGATAACCTGAAGGCAATGCTTCTTGCTTTTGCTGAGAGGGTCCAGATCGACAACATTTACAACTGCGGAGAGCGGTAAAATCCACCGAGCTGTGTATTCAGACTCGTCCTTGTAGAGAATGAGGTTGCGTGGGCGAAGCACAGCCCACATATCCTTCCACTGGCGCATGCCACGTCGGTGACGCAAGAGGTAGAGCCGGCCTTGCCATATGACACGGTCGGGGTCTTGCTCAACATTAGACACGCTCGTTTGGCTTGCGGATCGGATACCTTGGCCTAATGGGCGAGCTGCTGGGGGTAGCTTGCCAGGCGATTGAACGGCCAAACTATCGTAGGACGAGTCCTGGGGACGGAAAGCTTCATTGTCGGAAAGGTCGGAGTGCGATGCGAACTCCGCACCCGATAGTCCCGAAGACTCTAGTATCGACGACCTTCTCCCACCCCCTGCCGAGGTGACATATCTGGGGGCGGATGATGCCATTGGTTCCGGAGAGCTGGAAAGGAAGCGCTCATGTTCGTTTGGTCGGTTGTTGCTGATAGAAACCGGCTTGATGCCATTGCCAGGCTGTTGGGAGGCACGTGGGCTGGCAAGGAACATCTCGTCCTCCTCTTCATCGATACGCGCATCCCTTCGGATCAAGTCCATCCATTCCTGAGCATCTTCGGCGGAATTCGCTTGAAAGTGGTAGTTGCGAGACGGGGAAAAGAGGCCAAAAACATGCTCGCGCTTATGCTTGGGGTCCTTCAATTCGGCGACGGCTGTAAGCTCGGATAAGTAAAGCTGATGTCGTAGTCGAGACTCGCTCTCGTTTTTGTACAAAGAGAGGGTGTTGGGTCGCAAGACAAGGTAAACAGGCTTCCATTTCTAGAAAAGGAGTCAGTACTGGACAAGAGCTGGAAGCCGTGACGTGATGCTTCAAAAAGGGTCATTGGCGGCGGATGCTAACCTTTGTCTTTTGCGTGCGCTTCTGGACATAGCCGCTCTTCAACACGCGGTCAAAGTCAAAACAACCGTCGTTGTTGACAGGAGAAAAGGCAGCCTCAAGGTGAGACTGGCTGCGAGGACGAGCAGAGACGACGAGTTTGGTATCAAGAGAAGATGTATTGACTGGATGCGCGGCCCTTTCAACGAGAGTTCCGGCCATTGTTTACTATGTTTCAGCGAACGGTATCGAGTACGAGAATGATGATGGTGGTGGTGATGTCACGAACATTGACGGTTCGTGAAGGAGAAGGGTAAGCGTTCGATTCGAAGGTTTGCGCGGCAATGAAATAATCAGAGTAGTCAACCGAACAAGCGTCTAGAAGTTGATGGCAGACAAGAAGTGAAGGCTTCGTTGTGAAATTTGAGAGAACGATGGGCCTCTCGATTGTCGAAAGGCTGGTGTTACAAGCAGGGGTTGGAAACCAGGATATAATGCTTGTAGGAGGAGAAGGTTGTGGAAGTCGAGACGATGGGGTTTGCGGGCGTGGAACGTTATGCTGATACAGAGTTCAGGTAGTGAGACTTGAGGAGATGAGTCTGGGACTGGTGGTGGCAGTGAAGTTTGTGGTTGTCGTGTTAGGTTGGGATCGGATCGGATTGGATGTTTGTTGATTGTTGTGATGAAATGCCGGAGTATTTAGTAGCCACAGGGCGTAGGTATTGGATGCAGACAGATGCTGCAGATGGAGCAAAGGATAAAGACAAAGAAAGAGGGACGAGAGATGATGGAATTATGAACGACGATTGCAAGGTATTTGCGGCTTTGGAAAGGATATAGACAGAAAGGAGAAGAAAGGGAAAGGGTGTTTTTGATTTGATCGGCGGCAACGGAGAGGAACGAAGATTGTCGCAGACCAGACCAGACGGGAGCCCAGTAAAGAGGCGGGGGGACGTAACTAACTCAGAGCTAAGCAATAAGCCAAGTTGCAGATCTGCAGGCCCGGTACTTTTTCGGTACAAGGCGCAACAAGCGAAACTGCCGCTAAATTGCAGTGACGGCTCAGGTATTTTTAGTTGAGTGCCAAGTATCGGGTGTCCTGCATGTTGAGTTTGCCCGTAGGCGTTTCAGGCGTTTTGAAGAAGCGATGTTGTCGAATCAGTTGGCGTTTTCTTTGAGATGCACTGCTCGCGGCCAAAACAATGCGGCGTTAAAGGTCCACCTCAGTAGGTACTCTAGGTAGCTTTTGTTTTTTTTTAACCTAAACTAATAGAAAACGAAGTTTATATAAATAAATGGAAGTAGTTAAAGAAGAAGCAAGCGTGTTACGGTTTGCCTGTTGGGATAGTAGGTGCCTACCTTAGTACTTTGGACTTGAAAACGGACACCATCAACAGTCAATCAAGACCTTTTCGCATTCGGAATTGGACTTGGTGAACCAAGGAATGAAAGAGGGGTTCAATCTGATTAAGGTTCTTTTACCTGTTGATCCCCTCTTCCTCCAGAACGGGATTACATCAGGTGGCGGAAGCATCATGGAGGTTCGAGGCCCTTGAACAAATATGTACAGCACAGAAGCGTGTGCACGCCTCGTTTTAAGCTACTACTAGCTACTAATCTATCAGTCTTACGTATCGCCTGACGTTACCACCCTCCATCACCATCACCAGCACCAGCACCAGGCAGAGAAATTGACTATTTGTGAAAGATGACAGTGGGCAGTGTCTCTTTGGTCATCTTGAGTGGATGATCAAATCGATACTGGCTGTGCAAACAAGGCAGCTGAATTGAACCGCCCGCACATTCCACAGCCGAAAACGATCACGAAAGTGGCTTGTTCCTATTCTGTGACTGAATCTGGCGATTTCAGCTCTTGCAACTCGTTTTGTTGGGGGGGGGGGGGGGGTTTTCTAGTCCTCTTTTCATGTCATGCGTCCATCATCATCAGCCTGCATATGCTGCGTCTAGCCAAGAACTGTCATCTCGATTGGTGACAAACTGCTCGAGCTGACTTGATATAAAGTAAGAGATAATAATAGAGGCCCGGCCTGGTCAGGCCAAGACCACCTGGTCGATCGCTTAATCTGATACAAGGCGCTTCGACAAGAGTCCATAATATGAGACGATGCCATGCCATACATACTACATCATAATGCCCAGCGGCTAAGATATTGAGATTCAGAGAGTTTCATGCTATCTATATATGACGAGGTTCCCTCCCTGTTTCGCTCCGAGCCGAATAGACGCTTGCTGGTGGAGAATTACAATGGGGGAGGTTTCATGACGACGAAACACTCGTTGAACCAGCTGTTAATTAATTCAATGCCTCCAAGTGCAACAGGTGAAAGTAGAAGAATGGATTGATAATCAACCTCAGATATTGCAAAAGGCAGTATGTTCCCTGGAACACTATCGCAAGCCATAGGACGATGACTCTTTTCTACTGATTGAGTCACCGGCGAATGCAGCCCATCGACTAAACGCGCTCGATACTTGCCGAGTCTGTATAGTCGGTCTAGTTGTGGAATGGAAATATTCACTTCTTCTCAAGCAAACAAACGCTCTGGTTGATCCTGGTTATAAGTAGTCAATATGAAGCCAGTCAATCAATTGTTCGGACCACTGCGACATCTTCAGTGTCCTACAACACCGCTAACACGTCCAATAATCACCCATAGTTACCTCTTCACCTGTCGCTGTTTTACTTTCATCACTCCACATCCATTCACCCACTTCGATTCACCATGTCTTTACACGAACAACACAGCATTCCCACAGATACCGAACAAGAAATTCGGTCCAAGGTAGAGCAAGTCCTCAAAGAAACCCCATTTGCCCCCTCAAGCCTACGAAAGCTCAGTGGTGGTACTGCCAACTTTATGTACCATGCTATTCTTGAGAAGCCATCAGGTGAAGACAAATATCTAAATGGCGTCGTGATCAAGCAGGGAGAGGGCTATGTTGCACTTCATCCTGCGTTCAAGATTGCAACTTCTCGATGTGTGAGTGCGATACTGAGAATACTAAGCAGCAAGCTCTGCTGACTGACATCCACCGTTGTAGGCTATCGAGTATGAGTCTCTTGTCCAGCTTGCTGGACTACCCCCGACAGAAACGCCATCGTGTAGAATATCAACTCCAGAGACATATTACTTCAACCAAGATAGCAATACTCAAGTCCAAGAGTACCTTTCAGAAGCTCTCAGTCTGAAAGACTATGCCCTCAAATACTACGCTGCCCCCACACCACCAACTCTTAAAGAGCAATGCGAGCAGCTCGGCCATGGTCTTGGATCTTGGCTTCGCACGTTCCACGGCTGGAGCCAAGAACCTAAGCAAGCAGCCCTACGAGAGACGTTTGCGGGGAACAGGGAGATGCAGGGTCTCAAGAACATGATCAATTACCAACAGTTGCTACAGGTGGTGGATCGACACCCCGAGATCCTTGGCGACGCAAGGGACGTTTTACAGGGTGTCAGTGATCTGGCTGCCGGGGAACTTGCAGATGAATCGGCCTTGTATCCCATTCATGGTGACTTCTGGACCGGAAAGTGAGTCCTCGTGTTGGTGTTGCTTATCGTGAGACCGCGGTCAGCTGACTACAAACAGTATCTTACTCCCTGACACTCCTCTGGCAAAAGGCACTCACACTCCCATTCGTATTGTTGACTGGGAGATGGTTCAGATTGCTGTTCGGCCTCTAGATCTCGGCCAGGCCATTGCTGAGCTTTGGCAACTCAAGCTGTACAAGGACATTGCTGCAGGGGAGTGGCTGATCCGGGCATTTGCTGATGGCTACGGTGCCGTGAGTGATGAGTTTGCTTACCGCACAGTTATCCATGTTGGCGTTCACTTGATCTGCTTTGGATCTCAGACGCCAGGATGGGGCGATGCTGCGCAACAGAAGGACGTGGTCAGAATAGGAAAGGAGATCATAGTCAGAGCCTGGGGTAGGGATCGTGGCTACTTTGTCGGACATGTTCTTGGTAGCCTATTCAGAAGCTAGATGTCCTTTTACAGATATGTGTAAGGAACCAGGGAACCATCAGTATAAGCGGTGCTAGGAGTCGTGTAAGCGAAATGTGCGTCAAGGTTTTGGACTGCATTTGGAGTTCGAGTGTATGGAAGTGAATTGACAAGGTATAGATAATGAAACGGAAACACCACCATGATTATCTCTGGATTTGAAGAACTTGGTTTAACTGCTCACCATGACGTTCCTCTGAGTTTGTGGTAAAGTTGGCTCTCGTGATTGTTGTATGACTGATCGGTGGGAGGCGGCGAAAATTTCAACTTTTCAGTTTATTCAACTCTACCTTACCACACAATCGGCACCTAACTCACCTATCGATCGACTCTTATGGACCCATCTCTCGGCATCTGACAGAGTCTCACTTCGGATCCAAAAACACTGGCACTTGAAAACAATTAAATCTGCTATCAGTGTTCCTTACCTGACTCCCAGCGACGGTTACCCTATATAGGTCACACGAAAACTCAACTCCAACTCCGTTTGTAAACATCTCCACGCCCACGCCCAACTCAGATGCCTTCCCCGGACACCAGCCGGCCTTGTAAGCGGTGCAAGGCCGAAGATGCCGCTTTCCTCCTGCGGACAGACCCAACGTGCCGGTGAGTTACCATCATTCTCTCGCGGAACTTGATCGTTTTGCCCGTCATGCTAATGCGACTCAGTGATTGTTACGTCCAATATGTCGCTTACAAACTAAACAGGCGTCTCGGCGCACTTCACAAAGACATTCGCTCTTCAAAGAAGCTTACCACTCGGAGATACCTGGCTGGCTTGTCTTTTGGACCTTCATCTAGCGTCCTGGCCCAGTTACTCACCGAGCAGGCCCGCCACCACTCAGAGAACAAGGCATCTTCACCATTTGAGCCTGTGATCATTCATATCGATACTGAGTTATCATATATCGAGGGAGAATCTACTGCTAAGAAGCTGCTGGACGAGTACCGTCGTGTATTGCCAAATGCTATGTTCGAGTGTGTTCCTCTGAAGGACGTCCTCCTCGTGAAGAGCATCGACTGGTCAACTCTACCCCTCGACGCTGTCACACCAGATGATGATCCAAACGCTTGCCTTCAACGACTGTTCAATGCTCTACCAACATTGACATCGCGAACAGATCTTCTCCGTCAGCTTATTCGTCACCTTCTTCTCCAGAAAGCCCAGGAGCACTCATGCTCAGCGCTTCTCCTCGGCCACAGCACTACAGCACTGGCAGCCTTGACACTATCAGAGGTCGCCAACGGTAGAGGATTTGCAGTTCCGTTACAGGTTGCTGACGGCATGACAACTGTATGCACATACGGGGCAGTCGAGGGCACCGCCGCCCAGGAGACTGGTCGACTAGAATTCCCGGTCTACTATCCCCTACGCGAGATCTTTCGCAACGAGCTGGTCCAGTACATCGACCTTGTTCCCTCATTAAAGGAGGTTGTTCCCGTCAACCAAGCAGGTGCCAAGGCTAGAAACAGTGTTGTTTCACACAAGGACCTAAGCATCGAGGAGGTCATGACACGGTACTTTGATAGTGTAGAGGAGGGATATGCTGGAATCGTTGCCAACGTGGTGCGCACAACTACAAAGCTGGACCGAGTTCCTGGAAAGAGCCTCTGCGGAAGCTGCGGAATGTCACTTGATGCCGAGGGAGATTCGCGATGGGCCGGAGAGATAGGCGATGATGCCGGGAACGGGCCGGGGCCAGCCGGTGCAGGCCGGCTGTGCTATGGCTGCAAGCGGTCAATTCATGGGTAGAGCATCATTCGTACAAGAACCTGAACACTCATATTTGTATTCTGGTATATAACAGTATTTATCGTGACTAAAAACTCCTCAAATACGCCACGCCGCCTTTTGATTGCCAAACCCATGACCCAGGCGGTGCCAAATGCTCCTGTTGTCCTGCTAGATAATCATATAATTGAGGACTTGAAATCTTTCTTTCCTTTTCGTCATATACAAGAGCAGTTTTGCTCTAGATCGATGTTCGCTAATCACTATGCTACCCGTTCATTATTGACCTCTTCTAATAATCCTATCACCTTAAGTCGCCATCTCCAATCTTCCGGGGAGAATGCGATCCTCGATCTTGCGGACCAGCTTATTGGTCTGCTCCGCTAAGCTCAGAGTGAGGATGGTGTGAGGTAGAATTCGGGCAAGATGAGGGAAGAATCCCTTGTACAGAGCAAAGAGACCCTCTGAACGAATGGTTTTGGAGAGACAATCGGCAACGCTGCTGTAAAGATTGCCGTTCTGGTTGTACATACGGGACATGATGGTGTCTGAGACGTGAATGTCAGCCGCTAAACTTAGCTTTGGTTCAAGTGCAAGACTCACCAGGAGGATGCATCACGCAGCAGACAACGAATCCACTGATAGCACTGGAGGCCAAGTGCAGACCAGGGCCCTCTTCCATATCAAAATGACGAACCAGGCGACGCTTCGCGAAGAAATATGTGGGAAGCTGAACAGAGCTGCCAAAAGCAGTCCTGATCATGGCAGCCTGCACACCACGGTAGAGACCACTGATACCCTCAGTTCCATAGATGGACTTGAAGCCGTGCCACGCGCCCCGGTAGTGGTGCTGTGTACCAACGGGTCGGAACGCCGAGAAACTCTGTAATCGGGTCTTGACAAGGAAAAAGGGGCTTCCGGCGGCGGCGCCGATGACGCCCGAGGCTGCACCGCAGAACATGTTGATGCCCAAATTTTGGGCCTTTCCGTCCTTGAGGAAGAAGCTCGCGAGCGCATTGCGCATAGGGTCGTAGAAGCCGAGACGGCACCCATTGAGAAGAACTTGGTAGATATAGGCCGCGCCAATTCCGCGGTAGATATTACGGACACCTTCGTTGCGCACAATGACGCTCACACCATGGATCGGTCCTCTGTAATGGTGAGGTTGATGGCCCTTGTTCTGAAGCTCGCCTTGCAACTGCATACTATACAGGAATCTAGTCAGCATTTACTGGGACAATACCGCGTGCCGAAAACTCCAGAACATACCGGATTTTGACCGTCTCAAAAGGATGTGTTGCAGTAACGGCACCGCAGGCGGCAATGCCGCCAGCAATGAAGGCGCTATTCACCAAGTCAGCACAAAAACTTGGGCGCGAACGAAACCCCATGGGTTCATCTAGATGATCGATTCATGAAGCACCCAATGGCCAGAAGGCTTACCCAACAGTGGTCGACATGGGCCGATCTCTCCAAACGCGAGGAAGCGGCCGACAGCTGCTAGAGCAATATTGGGTGCAAGGAGAGATTGGGCGAGGGAACCAGATCCCTATGGGGGTGAGCTCGGGCGCGAGAGCTGTCCTCTTCAATCGGCGGCCCGAAGAAACCGAAATGATGCAGAAGAAACAAAGTTAGTTACCTGGGTAAGGTTTAAGAAGAAGATTTGGGAACGTGGAAAAGAAGGGTTTCACACCCGTTGCCGTCACCAGCGGCTTCGGACCCTATGGCAGCACGAGAAATTGTCAGCGCTGAGGTACCGCCTGCAGCGCTATTACACCAAAAAGGTACAAGCTTTCCACATAACGAATTAAGAGAACATGGAAACCTGAACGGGGCTCAAGATATATAAATTATTGGGTACTACTGTTTGACCCTACAAGTGTAAATTGCGTCTTCTGTCAGCGGCTGACAATGTTGATAAGCCGCCTGTCATCAACGTCAGTGATACCTCAAGACTGTCCTTGAGGGTATTTCCGGGCCTGTGCTATCCGTATAGTCTAGTACCTCACACGATCACATCCATGTCTCCCATCTCTTCGGCCGTTTAATACTTTTCCATCTTTTTTTGCGCTGGATGCATTTCATATGCCGACGTCGGCGGTCCTTTTTCGCGGGGACGGCTGCGGGTCCTTGCGTCAGGGCCGCTGGACCGCTGTGCAGCCTCTGGAGATGGAGGACGACGATGGAATCTGATTCGTCTGCGTGGTGACTTACTGATATGGCGCTAGGGTCAAAGGGAAAGACAGTACCTAGACAGGCTAGACAGGCTAACAGGGCAGCTAACTTGGCTGCTGGGCCGGCGATTCTGTTCGCTTTGAGCGGCTTGTTGCGGCTCGGGCGTTTGTATGCCGCCTCCGATTTTAATTATACCGAGCGTTAGGTAAGTACCTACCTACAATAATGTATTTATATACATATAGGGAATATAGGTATGGCTATAGTAAAGTTAGACTGACCTCCCTAACTCAACCTAGACCTAGCCCCTATTAGCGCTAGAAAAGTAAATTAAGAAAATTAAAATTTAAATCCTACCTTATATACTTTTATTAGCTAGAAAATATAAAGTATAGTTTAGATTTTAATTTTAAATTTATTAATTATTTTTTTTATTTTTTTTATTTTATTTTTACTTTTTAATATAAAGTTTATAATTTATTAAATATTATTATATTAATAATTTATTATTAATATATTAAGTTAATATTTTCTTTATTTATATTAATAATTTATTATTAATATATTATATTAATGTTTTTTTTATTATTTTTTTTAATTATAATAGAAATTATATCTTTTTATAATTAATTACTTATATACTTTAAGTATATTATAGGCATTAATAATTAAAGTAAATACTAGCCTTACTTTAAGCAGTTTAAAATTATATATATTATAAGTTAATTATTAATATATTATTAATATATTATAAGACCTTAATTTCTATATTGTTTTTATTTTATTTAATAAGGTATTTTACTATATAGAATATAATTCTATTTATAAGTTAGGTATTCTCTATATAAATATAAATAATAATTATAATATATAAGTAATATATTAAATATTTATTAATAATATATAGCCTTAAAAGTATTTAGTATAAAATTTAATTATTTATATAAAGAGTTATATAATAAAAAATAGCTTATATAATAAATTATACTTTTAAGTTAATAATACCTATAGTAATATATTAATTAATTTTAAGTATAAGTATTTTATAAATAAGTTATATTTAATATATTTTTTTTCCCCTTATTATTAGCCTAATAAGGCTATTAAGCTTTTAACTTTCTATTTAAAGGCTTAAATAATAAGGCCCTTATAGTAGGCCTATATCTTAAAGGTTAAAATTATATAAAGTTTATTTACCTTAATAGTATAATTACTGCCTTAATTAAATAATATTAATACTGCCTATAGGTCTCTTAGTAGCTATATTAGCCTTCTTTTTTTATTATACCTAAAAGATTAAGGCAGTATTAAGTTAAATCTATTATAAAGTATATTTCTTAACTTAATTTTCCCTTTATTAATTATAGCTATTAATATTAATTATAGCTATTAATATTAATTATAGCTATTAATATTAATTATAACTATTAATATTAATTATAGCTATTAATATAATATCTATATAAAATAGCCTATAGCTATATAATTAGGCCTATTATATAACTAGTTATAACCTTAATATAGCTATTAGGCCTGCTTTATAGAAAGCTAATAAAGAAAAACTAAAAGAAATTTATATAATAATAATTATTATTAAAAAGAATTTTTTATTAAAATACTACTTTAACTTTATTAAAATAGCTATTTTTAATTATAATTTAATTAAGTTAATTTATTATATAGGCTATTTTAGCTTAATTAATTTAATTTAATTTAATTATAAGCTATTAAATTTAAAGGACCTAAAGAGGGTCTTAAAGGAAGGTTATTCCTTTAAATTAAATTAGGCTATATTCCTTACTGCCTTTATAGGCTTAAATATATATAAAAAGTGGCTTTTTAATATAGCTAAAAGGGTTATTATAATAAAAAGAGTGCTACTTTTAATATACTAGGCTAATTATAGTTTAAAACTATAAAAGTAAAGTTAGGATAGTATATCTATAAATAGAGTTTTAAGATAAAGGCAGGGTAATAATAGGGTTTAAAGAAATTAAGTTAACTTTATTTATATAAGTTAGTTAGCAAAAGCTAAATTAACTTAAAGTTAATAATAACTAAATCTATTAATTAAATATATATACCTAAATATATAATTAATTAACCTTATATCTAAAAATAGATAAAGTAATATTAATAAAAAAGCAGTAATTTAAATTAAAAATACTTATTATATAACTTATATTTTTAATACCTTATATTAATAGTTATATATTAAGAGGATATATTAAATATATTTAATTAAAGTAAATTAAAGCAATTTTTAAATATTACTTTATACTTTTAAAAGTTACTATAAATAATTAAGTATTAATATCTATTTTAATACTTATAGTTATAGTATTAAATAGTTTATTAATAAAGACTGCTAATTAATTAAATAATAATTTAATAATATATTAATAATTTATTAAAGATATAATATACTTTAAATTTAATATTATAAAATATAAGTTAATATAATATTTTTTATTTATTTATAGTATCTTTATATATAAAGTAAAAAGTATAATTATTTATAATAATTAAAATTTACTTAAAATATATTTATAAATTATTATAAATAAATAGTAAATATATATTTAATTACTTTTAATTAAAGATTTAGCTTTATATTACTTATATTAATAAATATAAATATCTCTTAATAATTAAGTATAACCTTAAAATACTTAAAGTTAATTAGTTACCTATTAGTATATATATAGACCTTAATAGTTAAGTATTAATGCTTTTAATATATATATTTAATGCCCTTAAAAAACGTAAAATATATATTAATAGGCCTTTTTTATTAAATATTATAATAAAGAATTTATAATATATTAATAATATATAAATAATATATAGCTAATAGCTTATATATTTATTTAAATAGCTTTTTTACTTTTATAAGGCTAAAAGTAATATAATTAATAATATATATAATATTATTTATATTTATAATTAACTATATAAAAATAGTTTTTATAAATATAAGTCTATTAACCTTAATTATATTCTCTCTATTTTTATACTAGCTAGTATTAAAGGTAAATAATAATATAAAAATAGAAACTTTAAGCTTTTTTTAAATATTAAATATATTAATAATATATTAATAATATATTAACTATAAGTTAATTAAGACCTATATAGAAGACTTTTATATTTTACTTTTTAGTTTTATTTTATAGTTATTACTATAAGGTTAGTATTTTAAAATATCTATTTCTATTATTATTAAGAAAATTAATTAAGTCTTACTTTAATAGGATAGCCTTAAAGATTTTAATAAATAAAGGTATAAATAATATATCTATTTTATATTTATATTATATATAATATTATAATAATATATAATTTAAAGTATTAAAAGAAGTAAAGAAAAAAGAAAAAAAAAAGCCTTAAATAAAAAAAAGATAAATTAAATTATATTTTATATTTTTTAATTAATAGAAATATATAATATAAGATTTAGATTTTAATTTTCCTAACTTACTTTTATAGTGCTAATAGGGGCTAGATCTAGGTTAAGTTAAGGAGGTCAGTCTAACTTTACTATATCTATAATATAGGTACCTACTTAGGTATATATAGGAGTTAAATACTAAGTCTTAAAATCCACTATAAGAAGCTATAATAAATGTTGAAGATAGTAATTATCAGTCTGAGTTACAGAGCCTGCCCTGCTGAGTAAGGCGAGGATAATGAGACCCTGGGTCAGTAAGATAAAAAAAAAAAAAAAAAACGACTTCATGTTGGCCATGGACCTTTCCGGGTACCGGTACGTAGGTACGTAGGTACCTATAACTTGTGGCTCCCGTCATGGCGCACCCCACAAGATTACACCCCTCCAGCTCAAAGAGCTCCAGGACAAAACACGGCAGAAGTCGAAAACCTAACCAAGACATCAGCATCAACAAAAACATCCACCACAATTACTTGAATCTTCCTATTGTGAGAATTATTCAATCCCGCCACTGTCGCGACTAGATTGATCTGGATCTAGAGTGACTGCGACCCTTTGCGACTCGTACAATCGACTCTCTCTTTCAAGCCGATCGCGTGTGCTTTGTGCCACACCTACCACATTTATCACTTCGCCATTGCTCCTCGAGCTTTTACCTCGCTTCTCTCTGTCTACAATGTCATCAACGCCGATGGATATAGATAGGTCCAATACACCAAATGGCGCATCGCTTAACATCCACCGCACCATTGGCACCACCGCCTCCGTGTCTAATCTGTCCGATGTCATAGGCAGCTTTCGCCCTACCAAGGCATGGAACCTACATAACCCGACCGTACGCTTTGTTGGTGGGCTAATCGTCTAACGCTGTGTGTAGCTCTTCCGGCGTGATGATATCAAGGACAGTCGTCCACAGCCTCATGTACTGTCCCTCGACTACGATGACGAAGGCCAACTCGTCATGGCTTCGGCTAGCGACGAGACGATACAGATCTACCACGTCAAAGAGGGCAGACATGACAAGAGCCTAGTCAGTAAAAAATACGGAGTGAAGCTAGCCAAATTCACACACACAGCTTCAAGCATAATCTATGCCAGCACAAAACAGAACGGTAGCTCATTCACAACTGTTGAATTCTTTGAAATGAATCCAATACTGACCGACTTTTGTCTCCAGACGCTATCCGATATCTTGCCACACACGATAATTCATTCATCAGATACTTTGAAGGTCATGAGGGACCTGTGACTTCACTGGCTGTTCACCCGGGCAGCGACAACTTCATCTCATGCTCACACGACAACACTGTGCGCCTCTGGGACACTCAAACCAAGAACTGTCAAGGTCAACTATTTCTTCGAGCACCCTACCTCGCCGCATACGACCCCTCTGGAACTGTGTTTGCCGTCGCCTGTACGAGTAGCGGCACGGTACTACTCTACGATGCTCGACACTATGACAAAGCTCCTTTTGCAACGGTCGATGTTGTCGAACAGTGCAGGAAGGTAGATTCACAATGCCTCAACAAGGGATGGACAAAACTCGAGTTCTCAAATGATGGAAAGTCGTTACTTGTTGGAACTCGTGGTAATGGCCACTTCCTCCTGGACGCTTTCGAAGGCACCCTGAAAGCATATCTTCACAAGCCAAACGGCGGCACTCGACGATTGAGTGTGGGAGAAACAGCATCGGGTGGCAACGCATCGTCAGATTTGTCAAACATAGAGAGCAGTGGCGAGTGCTGTTTCGCTCCCGATGGGCGCTATGTTCTGAGTGGCTCTAAAAAGGACGTCCTGGTCTGGGATACCATGGCAGCTCCCAATGACAACAAAGTTCTGGAACCTAGCTGGACTCTGCCTGATAAGAGAGAGGCAGCTGTCCTAGCCTTCAACCCTCGGTACAACTTCTTCGCCACGGCTGATCAGGAGCTATTGTTCTGGCTGCCCGACCCTCATGCCTGAGTCGTGCAAACGAAAAAGACGTTGAGCAGTTAAAATGGCTGGAGTAAACAATAGATACCCTTGCATTATGGTACATCATGATGATGAGATAGTGACTGAAACATATTTAATGAGAATGAAAGTCACACAAAAACTGCCTGTTCGGCAATGGGCTAACCAGAAAAGCTTTCACTTATAGTATGATTTCTAACTACTTCATGTTCCCTTCGCTGAAAATACTCGGAGGCTAACGCTAACACGGCGCCGGGGACGATCGAATTTGCGATGATGTAACACAAACTTCAAGTCATTTATGAGAAAGAGGAGAAGGAGAAGGAACCGAGGCAGAATAGTTGATGGTTACCTTACACTTAGGTAGTTTCATACTATTCGAGTGCGATTAGCCTCGGAACGGTATCTTCGCGGACTTCCACATTTGCCAGCTTGGGACATGCTCCATGCTCTATCAAAACCTGACCAATGTCCCCTCTCCCCTTTCTAACGTAGTACCACAACGGCGTATGCCCACCAATGACCTTATTAAAGTGTCTTATCTTCCTACAGACAAGCCTGGCTAAGTCAACCTCTGCCTGTGCATATAGTGAATTGCTCAGCGGCGTTATCAGGTTCATGATGGGAAGCGCATCGCCCTGCGACTGCGAAAGATCACCTTCTGGCACTGTATCATGATCAGCTTCTGCTCCAGCTTCCAGTAACATTTTGACAACTTCGTGGTTCCGGTTCCGCTTGAGCGCATCTGCTAGCAATAACCTCTTCTGACCTGTCTGGCTATTGATCGGATTTGGCGAAGCACCTGCTTCTAGAAGAAGCTGGACAGCTTCGACATATCGCTTGTTTATGGCAGAAAGCAGGGGACTGATGTTTCCTATAGTATTTGCGTATATATCTGCGTTGGCCTGTTGGACGAGATAACGAATAGTGCTCAAGTGGTTGTGACGAGTGTCCAGAGCATTCAGAGCACCCTTACTCTCGGGCATGTTGGTTTCTTTGCTCCAGTCGCAGTCATCCATTGGTCCCCAGGAGACGAGATGGCATAGAGCTGTTTCGTCGGTGTCGTGTGTGGCATTGACGTCCGCTCCTCTGCTGATGAGCAGTTTGGCCTGGTGTGTCAGTTAGTTCGCTTGTCATGGGATCTCTGAAGGTTATCAGGTTGAGACGTCTGCAACACTTACCACATCTTCATTCAATGCGTATGCCAAGGGAGGCAGACTCTTCCCATCTGGAGCATTTGGGTTGAAACCATTGTCCAATAGTAATGTGGCGATTGCCGTGTTCCCACGCAGGCAGGCCAGGTGCAAAAGGCCGCTCCGGCTTCCCCAATGCAGATACCCATAGGCTGGGCCTGAAGGACCCATCCTCTGGACCGTCTTATATCTCAAGGCGTAGAGGCGATCGTTTTGGAAAGGCCGATTAATCCTGTCCCCAACATCTGTACCGGTCCGCCCCAGGGCTTCCAGGGAGCCTTTTGCTGCATTGAGGGCACCAAACCAGCTCGCCCATTGAAGAGCTAAAGGCTGTTGGTGATCGATCTTGAGTGCGTCTTTTGCATCCTTGTCGTACAGACGTGGAAGGACAGTCGCTTTGAGACTTTTGCAGGCCAGTGCCAAGTAGAGAAGGTCCTTGAAAGGCTCCTTTAGCAGTGACATCTCATCTGTTATGAGATGCATGATCTCAACAGGCATGGCTAATTCTAAAAAGGAGATGGTTTAGCGGCAAGGTCAATGAGTATAGAATACAAAGGACCTACCTTCTTAGTACATCCTCAGAGTAGGTAATTACGTCCTGTGCAATACGTTTCTGTTGAAAGCCGGGATCTCGTCTCGTCAATTTCGTTGCCGAAGAGGGTGACTTACCATCGAGATGCGCAGTCGTTCCTTGTTTAGGCTGATGTGTCATTTTTGCTTTATGAAAACAAATACGATTTCTTGTGTTGATCGAGAAGAACAAGGCGATATTTACAATGTGGAGGTTGCCTGAGACAAATGATTGGATGGCCAGGGCTTGATTGCTGCCTACCTATCCTTGGGGAGTAAGAAAACACTGCATCAGACCTTGATATACGGAGTAAGGTGTCAGAATAAATTCTACAAAGGCTACCCCAAGCTTATACACCAAGTTAGCCAAGTCTTGTTATCACGTCAAGCTGGTGTATGCCAAAGGTAATTCTAGAATAAGCTGCCCAAGGTAGGCTACAGAATCTGGAGGCACTGATATGCATTTAAATTGACACGGCTGATATAGAATAAACGCACATCTACAAGTCTATTGACAACTAATTGGTATTCATTTTGATGTCTCCATTGTCAATCAACTTGTTACCGAAGTACTACGTAATGGCTCTATTTATGGCTCTATGTATGGCAATCATGCTTGACTGAGTTACTACAATATCAAGATGATGCGTCTCAAATATCAAAAGAGTCTCGCTTATATGACACCAAAGTTTGGAATTCATCTCTGGTACTACATGAGGATTTTCAAGACCAAGTAAATGGCATTTGCGATTGTACCGTGGTGTTGTGGCGCCCAGCCGCTCCGGCCCCTCATTGAGCCCCACCATAAGAATATCCCACCTTCTAAATCCAACCTCATTCAACTTTCCACTTCAAAACCGCGAACGACATTGCATCTACAAGCGCCCTGTTGGGATTCCTATGGCCATTGACAATTCAATAAGCGAACAGGATCCTGAGGGTATATCTATTTGCAGGCGGAGGCAGAAGCATAGCTGGGCCCACGATCATTCTTGAGCCAGAACGGGCCACCACACGACATCACCTTCGACATCGCGACTGACGGTATAATACAACTCTTGACGACATGGTGTATCTCAAGACCAGCCAGGAATGGCTCGACCAGTCCATGGCTCTCCTAGAGGCCCGTCCTGCCACTGTACGTCCATGCGCCGACCACTCAACCTCAAACTAACCACAACACCGTAGACTCTCATTACCACAACATACAAGCTCAAGCCTGGCCCTACGCGACCCGATGCAGACGGCGACACACCCGTCACCAAACCCCCACGCGGCGCTCTCGTCCTCAAGGCATACGATCCCATTAGCGGCGCGACCATCAAGTACCGCACCACCAAGGCCCAGGAGGTCACTCGCTTGATACATGCGTCTCTGGGCCGGCTGGGAAGAAGTATGGCTGCGGTGCCGGATGTACCTGAGGTGACAATGGCAGATGGCGATGGCACAACTCCGGTGGAGGAGTCACAAGCTGCTACGCCGACACCACAGGCGGCCCAAGGGGGTGGAGGTGGAAAAAAGAAGAAGAAGGGCAAGAAATAAGATATCCGAGCTGGACGAGTTGTTTTTAGTGCTTCTGGTATACTCGATTTATTTGTGGACTTGAGGATTGATGATCATGAAATGAAACTTGTTGCAGTTGATGTTGAAAAGAGTAGCATTGTTAACTGCAGAATATTGATTTGAGGGATGCCACTTTGCAGACTTCTTACCTTCTCAAGTCTCTCTTCGCTACACGAAACTCACAAGACACACACGAGCCTACCAAGTCCACTGTCGTAAACTTCAACCATGGGTACAGGGCTGAGGGGAGGCAAACAGAAAAGTATACACGTCACACATGCAACGATCGAGGAGTGTACTAGTCTAATCAATTCATCTCTATCTAGAGTGGTAAAGTAATATCGTCATCCATAAATAGGATCAAGCCGTCAATGCTATTTTCATCCACCCTCAGTCCAGATCCCAAAACGCCGTGTCGATCCGTGCAAATTCAGCTTCCGGATCCAAATTATGATTGCCTCCTTGCCAATCGTAGTACTAACCAAGCATCGCCGCCCCGAGGCCCCATTCAGATGTACAAACAAGAAGTAAAACAGGGTATATGTTCACATGTGCGCGTGCCAATGAGCAAGTGCCCAGGCCAAAGAAAAGAGAAACGAAAAGGCGAGACGCTCAGAAATCCTCGTCAAAGGTGAAGTCACCGCCGTTCTCACCCTTGGGGGACTCGTCCTCATCAGTCTTCTTAGTGGCACTGTGGAGGACACCGGCCTTTTGGTAGTCGGCAACACGCTTCTCGAAGAAGTTGGTCTTGCCGCCAAGGGAGATGTTTTCCATGAAGTCGAAGGGGTTGGTGGCCTTGTAGACCTTCTCGTTGCCAAGAGCGACCAGGAGACGATCAGCGACGAACTCAATGTACTGCTTCATGAGGTCAGAGTTCATGCCGAGGAGGGCACAGGGAAGGGCCTCAGTGAGGAACTCCTGTTCAATGGTGACGGCATCAGTGATGATATCTTGGATCATCTGCTTGCTGGCACGGCCCTTGAGGTGAGAGTGGAGGAGGCAGGCAAAGTCAGTGTGAAGACCCTCGTCACGAGAGATGAGCTCGTTAGAGAAGGTCAGACCAGGCATGAGACCACGCTTCTTGAGCCAGAAAATAGAAGCGAAGGCACCACTGAAGAAGATACCCTCAACAGCAGCGAAAGCAACCAGACGCTGGGCAAAGGAGGAGTCCTTATCTTGGATCCATCGGATGGCCCAGTCAGCCTTCTTTCGGATGCAGGGAATGGTCTCAATGGCGTTGAAGAGGTACGTTCGCTGGGCAGGCTCCTTGATGTAGGTGTCGATGAGGAGGGAGTAGGTCTCGGAGTGAATGTTCTCCATCATGATCTGGAAGCCGTAGAAACAACGAGCCTCGGGGATCTGGACCTCGCCACTGAATCGCTCGACGAGGTTCTCGTTGACAATACCATCAGAGGCAGCGAAGAAAGCAAGAATGTGAGAGACGAAGAACTGCTCATCGGCAGTCAGGCGGTTGTTCCAGTCGTGGAGATCCTTGGACAGGTCAATCTCCTCAGCAGTCCAGAAGGAAGCCTCAGCCTTCTTGTACATTTGCCAAATCTATCAAGAGCTGTTAACATGGGTCGCGTGGGGGTGACCACTTTACGCGTCAAAACGCGTCACATACCTCATGGTACTTAATGGGAAAGAGAACAAAACGCTGGGGGTTCTCCTGAAGTAGAGGCTCATCGGCCTCCTCAGACTTGATGCCAGGGGCAACAGCGAGCTTGGTCTCCTCCTTCTTGGGCTCTTCGACAATCTTTGTCTTGAGGTCGGTGGTATCGAGGGACTTGTTCAAAGGCTCGTTCTCCTTATTAGCGGCGCCGAAGTCGAGCTTCTTGACGGGAGACTCCATGTTGAAGTTCTCAATGGCGGAAGCAGCCTATGATTGGCGTATTAGCAATGAATTGGCCTTGGTGGATATGTGCAGCTGCGTGCACTTGGGACGTCACATACCTGCTTCGAAGGAGTGATTTGCGCAGCCATTGTATTGTGAGTGTGGGTGTCTGAGGAAGAAGAGTACAATTTGGTTGATCAGAGCAATGCGGAGACAAGACAAAGGCTTTGTATGTGCGTGAAGCTCTCGAGGTTGAGGTGTTGTGGGCTGCGGTGGTGATGGTCTGGTCCAAAGTAAAGAACGGGATGAAGGCGATGGGCTTTTGTATAAGTCTTGATGCGCTGTCACGTGGAGCTAAAGCGCGTCAGGTCGCGCTGGGCAATACAAACAGCGGGCCATTTTAAAGTACCTAGCTCTACTGCGTCAGGGCAGGGGGGCCGCTGCGCGTCACTGGGTGAACCAAGGGCTTTCGGCGCCATTTGGACTGCTACTGGCAGCATCCAAGGCGCTAGTGCTGGAGCTGGTACCATGAGAATATCCAGCCACCAGGATGAATCAAGCAAGTGAGACGCGTAGATTCGCGTTTTAGGCAGATTCACGTTCTTCTTTGGTATGGTTCAAGTGCAATGCCTCGTGTTTCTCTCAATTGCCCCACTGCGCTTGCACGGTACCTGCTTTGTCGCAGGGAGTGATGATTCAGACTTTGTCAGGATTAACGTCATGGGTCTCTTTTATCAATCAGCACACTTTGGCGTGAAAATCCATTCATGAGGTGGCCTCCCTTGTTCACATCGTTGGGCCAATGTATGCGAAATGGGCTGTGGCCAGGGCATGATAGTGGTACGAGGCGGGAGAGAACTCATGGGGCCAAGGTACCATTGCCTGGTGGGAGAAGTCATGATGAGGTCCTACCGTGCACTGAGATCAGATTCATGCAAAAATGATGGCCATTGAACCTTTTCTGCAGCTGCTGCAACAAGTACCCTTAGTTAAGCAAGCTGCTACAAACTTTCCCTGTTACTCAACTTCACTCCCAGGGTGAGAAACGCGTTCCTGGAGCTACACCGCGTTCCGGCCTGGGCCCTGAATCTGACGTGATGGGCCCGGAGATGGAACGCCTCCACGAGCTCCCTTTTGCTGTCCACAGTTTGCAACTAAATTCAGATCAGCTTGGACTGGGCCAAGGTGAGTTCGCATTTACATTGAAAGAAACCCCTTTAGAGTCCTAGATCGGAGGCTTCAAGATCATCTCTCTATCACGATTCCACCTGAGTTGCTTGGTCGATGAAAATGCCAAGTGAAGTTATCAGATCTTATTCTCTAATTTAATTCGAGGATCATGACCCACGCGCGACTGCACCCACTGTATCAATCGGTGAGTTCATGGCGCATTAGTATAGATTCGTAAGGTAAGCCCAAAGTAAGGTATCCATACTGAACATCATTCGTACCTAGGTAGACAACATAACAATGAAACACGTCTGCATCTTCCGATCATTCAAGCATTACCAAATATTCTCACCCCATCATCATAATAGTCCTGACTCACAAGGGCCCGCCCTCATGTCAGCGTGGTTGGTCCATTTCCCTTGTCTTCATTTCCCTTGCCGTCCATGTATATCCGAGTTGCCGACTTTAGCGTCGGTCTCTATCTCGTCGCTGTGATCTTTGACTTCGAGACCCACGCTCGGCTTCACCTGTTTCAATGTCGTGTGGTTGAGCTCTGCTGCGGCCAAAGAACCCGCGGCTCTCGCGGACTCGTGCCGGTTCCGGTTCGATGGGACGATCATCACGATGGCGATCTCGGCTGCGACTGCGGCTGTGTCGACGACGCTCCGACATGGAGGGATTTCGCGATGGTGGGTTTGACACATACTCTGGTGGATCCTGGGCTTGAAGTCGATCAAATTGTTCAGGATCGCTGGGGTCAATAGCTGGCACTGGCAATCCGCTCTTCTTCAGGTTCTTGCGTCCTTCCTCGCGCAAGTGTTGCTCAAGAAGTGCAGCATTGCGAGTATTGGCTTTGAAGGCCGCATCGGCAATGTCTCCAGCAAAGGGCACAATTCCAATGACAAAGTCGATGATGATATTGAACATCATCCTGGACTTGACAGAGGTTGGCAGCCCACCGTCGATCTTCATGCAGCTCCTCATAACCAAAAGGGCAAGCAACATATCCAAAACGTCACCAATTCTATGAAGCCCATGTTAGCTTAGTTCGATGGAGACCCAAGTTGGGTTTGGAGACCAAACTTACGCAGGGATCAGTCCCAAAACGCTACCCCAGCCAAATCGGATGCCGCAGCAACTGAACAGAGCCAGGTCGAGACGGTACGCTCGGCGCTTGACCTTGGTCAAGACTTTGCCATCATTTTCGGAAATGCCAGGAGGAAGAGCCTTCTTTCGCTTTTTAACTTTGCCAGTAGGCGTTCCATCTAGGCGAGTAGCTGGGACATGCTCAAAGTAGGGATCCTGTGAATAATGTGTTAGTTTGACGGGCTCTAAAGGGTCATAGGTAGTGTCGATGCTTTCATACCTCAGTTCCAAATTTGTTCTGGACAGTCTCTCCCAGGATCTTCTTGGTGACAAGCTTTGCGACAAGTGATGCCATGTTTTACAGCAAGAGCGACACTTCGCTTATTGAAGCAGTCGGTGCGCGACCCGGGACGAGGTCGTTGGTCTTCTTAATATTGCTGAAGCGACAAGCTTGGCAGAGGCGGGAGTATGACCAAGGACAAGGCCACAACTACACCAACAAAGAATGTATGCCACTGCTTGAAATTCCGAGACCAAGATTGGGCGAGCCAAGACAATGAGAGGGTGCTTCTCTTATTAAATAAGGGGAGGACAATGTCCTGATAGAATGACCACTTGCTGCGTTTGTAGTGGCTTTACTGGCTGGTCGGTCAATTAACCTGTTTTCAAGTATTTATGATGTCTGTCCATGGTGAGGGAGCCCAGTCGGTGCTGTGACCGATGATGTAATATTGGCGGCCACCCGAACTTCTGGAACCTACATACAGAACTGCAGCAAGCCAGCCCCTGCAGTCTAGAAGCATTAATGCGTAATCTTTAGCTCAACAAAACCGGTTAAACCACTGCTACAACGCCGATCATGCACATGTGCTGGCATATTTTTCAGTGG